CTCTTCCATGAAAAAAAATGCTACAAGGTGGGAGTGAGATAATCCCTTTACAAAGCAATAATATCTCTCTGGCAGCAAATGTAGAATTTCTAGGAGATTAGTGCATTGAACCTAATAAGAACTGAATGAAACTTTCTGTAAAGGGAAACCTACACAGATAGTGAGTCAGGTTTGGCTGGGACCTCAATTGAAATCCTGATTTGGGTAATCAAAAGTTTTATTTTCATGTACAACCTGTTAGTCCTTGAGAGATCATTGATGAGAGAAACTATAAGTGTTAGTTTTGCTTCTGCTCCTTGGGACTTAAAAATAATTTTGGCTACATACAATCCATGTTCTACTGGAGTCTTTGTGGATTTGTTCTCTCCCTCTACTAATTTTTATACATGTTTTCTTCCTCTTCTCAGATGACAAAGGCCTTCATATTGTCTTCCATTAATATCAAGTAGCCTGAGAAAATCTGCTGCAAAGGCAATTGGTTAATTCCTAATTGCAGAGTGTTGATTCTGGATTCATTGTCTGGGGCAACAACAGATGAGTTATTTATAACTGTAACTTGGTTCTGCCAAAGACTTGGTTTTTTAGCAGTCATGTACTTCCTGTAAAGTCTTTAAACTTGTGATTGCCGTTAACTCAAACAAGCACACCTCACAAGACTTGAAATGCAAACAAGTTCTCTCAAAATTGCAATAAATTGTATTTATATTAATAAAGTTTATTCTAATTTAGATATGCCATAAAATTAAAATATAGACTTTATGCAGAGAGAAGATTTTATAACCAACACAAATCCATGTATTTATTTCTAATCTAGGAACAGTTTCCAAATTAATTTACATTCTCTGTCAGATGTATCCTTGAGACACAATTCTAGATAGCAAAGTAGATCTCCCTAACTCAGTATATTTTGTGGGAAATATACATGGTTTCATAAAGTTTAATAAAAATATAAGTTGAATTGTGATTTCAACTTTTAAGATTAGTTTTATTCACATATGATCATTTTTCAATTTTTTTGAGATTTACAATATTATTACATTTTAAGAAAGAATGATGCAACCCAATCACTTCCTTTATAACAATTTTTTGACGATAAACTATCTAATTTAGCAATCAGAAGTGGGATAATATACTAATGAAAAAACTTATCAATTGTATCTAAATATAATATTTGATAGAAATGCAACGCATTGATATTCCCATTGTTACCTATCCATTATTGCATCTAAATTATGCATCTATTTAATTATATAGTTTTTGACATATAGTATTTAGATGAATGCTTTGATTTGTGTTTTGCATGTTGTTTATTCTGGGTTAAAGAGAAAAGAAATATATTTTTTCCCTGTATTAGATTTTTCTTTTCAAGAATATAATTCATGGTATGAACTTTAGCTACTATACTTTTAAATAAATGGACTAAACACAGGACTTGGATTAGGGTGAATGGAGCCCCTTCACTGGATGTCTTTCTTTTGAGTGGCCAGATATTACTTTTTAATGTATTTTGTGTTTTTATCTTGGTTTTCTGGTATATTTTCTGAATCACCCAGAATTGGTTTGGGTGGTGCCTAATACAAATAAAAGACCATATTTGTCAGAGAATAAGACGCACCTTAGTTTTGGGGGAGGAAAATAGGAAAAAAAATCTGCCTACCAGGTATTCATCTGGCTAGTGTCCTTGGTATGGTCAGCTTCAGGACATAAGTTTGCTGGTTTTGAGCGTGCGTGTGCGTGCGCACTTTTTATCCCCTGGTTGGGGATAAAAAAACAGCTTCTAAAGCACAGCTGATTGTCGGAGAGAGAAGCAATGAGAAAAGCAGGCAAAGCATGGAAAGTGGCTTCACTCATTAGCGCCTCATTAGGGCTGAAAAAAATCTTCAAAAAAGCTGCAGAGTATAAGGTACACCCAAATTTTTATCCTCTTTTAGGGGGGGGGAAATGTGTCTTATACTCTGAATAATAATAATAATAATAATAATAATAATAATAATAATAATAATAATAATAATAATAATAATAATAATAATAATAATAATAATAATAATAAATGGAACAATTTATGTCCTGCAACAATATATTTAACACCAGCAAACAATTTCTGCCTAACCCAGGTCCTTGGGAAGGACTAGATAGGTGGACAAAAGTGCCAAATTTAGTTTAAACATCTGGCTAACTGAAACCTATCATAATAATCTCTTCATAGGTTTATAGTTATTAATTAGACCAAAATGTTAACATCCTAATCTTAATACACACAAACTTTAATTCCCCCCCAATTTTTTTTTAACATATAGATAATAAGCATTTAATTTCCAATCTGGTATATTATTGAAGTGTGGATGGAAACTGAAATGTGCTCCATTTGTTCCTCTGATGCTGGAAGTTTCTTTATGCATGTGTTGGTCTATGTGCATGGACAAACATATATACTAAATTAATATATTTTATACCAATAGAAAAAAGAAGTGTTTTTATTTTCAGAATAATAGTTTAGTCACTTTTTAATGTTGCTCTACCAAATGTTGATTAAGTACAATTTCAAATGACTATAGTAAATCAAATCATCTGCAAGTTTCATGTACCTTTCCTCCAACCATGTTCCACAATTAACAACTGCATAAAAGATACAGGTAGTATTGCAATCCTGCAAATAATCTGCTATTTTCCAAATCTGGTCCATTCTGAATGTGAGTATCAACATCCATAATCGCCCGCCATAATACGATCTAGCTAGATTTGTAAAAGTATGAAATTCCAAACAGAGAGAGAAGCTTACATAGTAATTAAGAGGATAAGAGAGAACGGAATCAGAACAAAGAAAACTTGCTCCTAGGTATCTGCTCTCTGGAAAGAATAGGTGGAAGTAGGCCACCCAGAACCTTCTCTGTAGAAAGGGGAAGGAAGAAACTTTACAGCTTAGATCCACACCTCTCCAAGCTCCAGGTCGACATCTTAGCCGGAATTGTCCCACAGGTTACAATGTTTTATTTCAAAGGGAGTTTACTGGTTAAATGTAGTAATATGCTTGGATTTTTTTTATATCTATCAATATTATCTCTAGATTTTGTGTTCTTTGCACTTGTTCAATGAATTGTGCATTTTGGCTTTATGCAACTTGGGAGAAAATCAGAAGGCTGAGCTCAGCTTCTCTAGCCTTCACACCTTCCAAAGCTGGATCCTGAATCGCTTTTTGGACAACAAGTGCCATCTTGTGTAATCAAATGCAACATCCACGTCTAAGTGGAAGTTTTTCATGTCTGTGTTTATTGTATCTTGTCAGTTTTGCTTCTGCCTTTCACATCTATATTATATATATATAGGCGATGTGGGCAGTGGAGTGAGGTGCTGCTCATAGAATATTGCTGTACCACTGTAGGCGTTTCTTCTGCATTTTCTCTGATAATGGAATGGTGGTAATTTGCTTCCAAAGTGTATCATTGATGACCTGGTCACCTAATGACCAACAAACTATGTGCATGGCATATAATGCTCAATGCACTGGTGACTGGCCAGTAGTCAGCATTATATAGCGCTGCTGGGTGCACTGTTGTCTCCTACACCTTGGAGTTTAGACAGATTGGCATGTGTTGATCACAGAGCACACTAGTGATCTCCTTCCACCGGAACCATGCTTTGTTCACTCTCAATGCTCCCGTCACTTTGCAGACGGGATCCTAGGTAATGGAAGGAGTTGGTCTTCACTAGATTGTCACTGCTGACTTGTATGGTGGTGGTGCTTGGGCTGGTCTCTAACTATTCAGTCTTTTTGACGTTGAGGTGAAGGGCAAATTGGCAAAGGCAATTGTTCCTTAGTTGAGATAATATCCATAACAATGTTGAAGCTTGATGAACATCAACTTTCACAGGAAAGCTTTCAGAAAGACTGACAGTGCATTTCATGTGACAGCTGGTATTTTCATGCAGCATCTGGACCCCTGTTATGAGTTACTTGGGCACCGTGGTCACGTAATGCATACCAAATTAACTGATGCAGAACATGGTCAAAGGCCTTTTCAGGATTGAGGGAAGCCAAATGAAAAGGTTTCACTTTTTTCTTAGTATTTCTCTATACGCATGAGAACTGCCAAGATGGGGTCAGTAGTACTAGAGGCTTTGACAAAGCCATGTTGATTGGTACTGATTTTTATGATGTCATGTAAACGCTGGTTGATGAGCCACTCAAAAATTTTCATTACGTGTTTTGTAGGCAACATTTTCAATAGTTTCGGCAATCTGATGTATCGCCTTTATTCCATAAGAGTGTTACTGTGATGCTCATGGCCCAGTTAGTAGGCATGTGGCCAAAGTTCACTATGACATCAATGAAATTTGTTAGCCAATAGGGACATGGTGGCTCAGTGGCTAAGACACTGAGCTTCTCAATCAGAAAGGTCGGCAGTTCAAATCCCTAACACCGCATAATGGAGTGAGCTCTCGTTACTTGTCCCAGCTTCTGCCAACCTAGTAGTTCGAAAACATGTAAAAATACAAGTAGAAAAATAGGAACTACCTTTGGTGGGAAGGTAACAGCATTCCGTGTGCCTTCTGTGTTTAGTCATGCTGTCCACATGACTACAGAGACGTCTTTGGAAAGCGCTGGCTCTTCAGCTTTGAAACAGAGATGAGCACCGCCCCCCTAGAGTCAGGAACGACTAGCACATATATACGAGGGGAAACTTTACCTTTGGCTAACAATAAGCTTATATGATAAAATTTAATATAGCCTATTTTATAGGTAAATTATCAATCCCCACCCCCAATATCCAGGTGGCAACAAGTGAAAACAAAAGAGCAGCCAGACAATCACCAGCAACAAAGTGCTTTGGATAACTGTATTAATATTGCTGGTACACATATAATTGAAAAAATCGTTCCTGACATATAAGAATCCAAAGATTGGGTGGGTGGGTGGGGGGATGAACAGGCCCACACTGCCACTTTCAATCAGGACATGGGGGATGTGCCCCAAGATATCCTGTAGGAAAAAAATGTGGCAAAGGAAATCTTGGAGTCTGGCTATGGCTATAGGCTGGAATCAAAGTGACAGAGAGCTACCATGGGTGAAGTTAAGGCAGACATTTTGCACTGAAATTTGGAGATTGCATAAAACACCATTTTGCTGGAGTTCAATCTGCTGCAAACTTTAACAATCATTGATCATTCCAGATATACATGTTTGTAGCCCTTAATTGCATTTTCTGATGGTAGAGCAAAAGAGTGTGTGTTTCAACTTTATTGCCAGCAGGTGGTTTCTGAAAGATCTCAGTGAGCTTTGTACTTCCTGTGAAGGCAGGCAGAAGAACAAAGCCTTCTCTCTTGTCTTTTCCTTGTCCTGCTATCTGTTCAATTGTGGTCTCCAGCCTTCTTCGTCATCCCCAACTGGCTTACAACCTTGGGGGGAAATGAAGCTGAAAGGAATACTTATCAATGCCATCCTTCAGGCTCTGCTCCCAGTTGCAGGTAAGACAGGCTTTTCATATTCTAAGAAACTATTCTAAAAAATTATCTTCCCCGAAATGGACGAAAGCGCAAGCTTCTCTTGCATGTCATAGTCTCCTTGTACCAGGAAGGAAATCTCTGTGTAAACTTTTAGTTACGTCTCCTTGTTAAAAAGCAGCTACACATTTTGTTCAAATTCCATCACCTTGGATCAGTGCTTTTCATAAAGCTTTATCACCTAATGATAAAGAGCTAGGCTGGCAGATGGATTAAACAAAATAATTTTTTTTAATGTCCTGTTGTTTTGGCCTGAAAGCCATGTGAGCTGCTTCTATTTGCAAACAATGTTGGACTAAAAAGGGTATCTTTTGGCAATGCTGCTCCAGCAGAATTTTCTAGTAGTGTTATTCATGAGGGATAGACTATCCATAGGCGTCAATGGGAATGTCATGTCTTATATTTGATCAGGGAAATGTCACGTTGCGACTTATATGGCCTTACGGTTACTCAAAAGATGCACCTCTCACTTCTTAGAAATCAGTTGATTATGATGGTGTTGTCTCAGGCATATAACGTATTAATCAATGTAGCACTTGGAGGTTTACAAAAAATAGAACATACTTATATTAGGGATGAATAAAAAGAATGAACAAATAATATTTTGCAGATTTAGACTAAGTACTATATAGACTTATAAGTACTGAACATAGTGAGAATAACTTTGGAAAAAGAAATAAATCTCATTTTTAAACACTACGTACTTCTGTGATGCAACATTAGCATTTCAGTGGTTGAAATCCAATGGACACATCTTGAATAATCCCAGTGGATATGATGGATTTTTTTGAATAAATATTCTTAAATTTTAGAAACTTGTTAAATTAGATAAAAAATCATAGATGTATTAATTTGTTTTAAAAATTAGTCAGAAAATCTTATTTAAATTTCATTTGCAGACTATTGTTTTAACTATTCATCTTCTTTATAAGAGAGCTGGATAACATTTAAAACCAACAGAAGTTAAAGGGGTCAAATTTTATTCTTTTCATGAGCAACATTATACAGAAGATACATGTAAACATCTTATGTTCTGTATTAGTATGTCCTGAAAGCAAAGAAAACAAAATGCAGCTTTGAGCCTTCTGGATCCCATCACATGCAAACATGTTAACTTTTTACCTATTCTAAGAAAGATTAATCCTATTGTATGTGTACATGTTGAATTGTATCATTGCAAATGGTAAAATGCTCATTTTACAGTAAGTAAAACACAAATACACATTCTCTCTCTCTCTCATGATTTTCTGAATTGCAACATAATGCCCACTTAATCCAAGGCTCATATCAGTCCAAAAGTGAAGAAGAAAATATAATAGCAAGAAGAAATGGAATATATTTCCATCAATACATTATGCCTTTTATCTATGTATTGTAATAATTTGGGTACTGTTGTTCTGCAATTAAAAAGTCAGCTTTTGAATTTCTAGTTTTCTAAGATTAAATGTTATTAGTCCTGCTTACTAAAATTATTGATTAAAATTATATCGACAAGTCTTGAAAACTATTGCGCCTTAAAGGATAGGCTTTGGATACATCTACCTGACGCAGCTTTGTTCACAATCAGCAGATAGGTTTTCAAATACTTTGGCCCTCTAAGCATCAAAGCAATATCATGTGCAAACCTTTTGGAAAGAAAATATAAAATGTTTGACTTCAAAGATGCGTTCTGCTGAAATACACCTTCAGTCTACAGTGATATAGCTGCAGAGAGAAGAATATAAACATAGTGTTGTGTGATAAACTTTAGTTCAGATGGTGTCTTTCAACTTTGCCAAGTATCTTTCTCATTGATAACCAACTATCAAGCAAAAGTTATATATATATCACTTATTAAAATTGATCTTAATATATAATAAATTGCTAAATATATTTTTATGGAAGTAGTTCCTGATCATAAGAAAAAATAAGCTTTGTAGACAACACAGTGTTGACATAGATGTCTATATAAGTATTGTATGCTACATGTAACCATGTAATTCACTAATAATGTATGTACACAATAATGTTCCTTAGTCAAAAAAATACCCTATAATTGCAAGGATGTGAAGTATTTTTCAGCATAAAGTCATATTCATTAATTTACAAACAATCTTTGTGGAATATTGTGCATATTAGATATATACATAACTAATTACTTTTATTTCAGCAAGACAATAGTTGTCTTTCGTAGGCTGGCTGTATTGGGTTTTCTAAATGAACATAAAATCTTGATGGTCTTGTATGTGGTGCACATATAATTGATAGGATTAGCCGTACTATTAGAACAAAATGGCCATTTCCAACAGCTGATTTTGGATACCATAAAAAAGCAGGAAATTATTGATTATGGTATTGTATTTTTATTGACAAGGACGATGAGTAACATTTATGTTATTTTGCTTTTTGAAATGCCAAAATAATTTGACATTCTTTAGGTATGAGGTGTGTGTGTGTGACAGAGGGGGGGGGAGGGAGGGAGGGAGAGGGAGAGAGAAATTCACAGATACACAGATAGAGATTACTATTCAAAAGGTTTGGGATTAATTTAATAATTTATTATACAAGGTTATGTATCTGAGCTTGAATGTCTGTCTGGGGAAGTCTCTTTTCTGCATTGTATTGGCATTTCTGCAGATCAGGATTAACACTTTTATGTGCTCTCCTCTGCTACCAGGATCTTTGTGTGATTTGACTGCAGGAGAGGAAGAGAGGGAATTTTGAACTGCCCTCCTAGCCCTACTTTTAGTAGCTCTCTTAACACACCTGCAGATGTTCTGCTTTATATACAATATATGATTGCCTGTTACCCCCAGTGTTCTATTTAAACTTTTATTTCGAGAACAAAAGTAGAGAAAATACTGAAAGGTGTTTTGATTATTTGAATTAATTTTAAACAATTCAGGCAATTCCTACCTAATACTTATTCCAGATGTAAGCTACCATAACCTCTTTTGCACACGACCATGTAAAAGTGGCTGCTTTTGTAAATGATACCGTAGATTTAAATTTCATAAAACTGATCCATGCCACACAAGAAGATCAATTAAGTTTAGGTATCTGTTAAAAATCTCATAACTTTATTTTTCTTTGAGAAAAGTGATCCTTCAGTTGTGTTTCTCGCTTAGATCTAAAAATGAATGCTGGAAAAAGATAACACAAAAATAAGCCCTATTAAACTTCATAGGGATTGCAGTTTAGTGTACATTTCTTATATACAAATATCTCACAAGTAAAGCATGATAGTTTCTGAATTCGTTAGTACCTCAAAAAAAAAAAAAAGGAAAAACAATGGGCTTCATTAAATTTATTTTCAATTATCAATGTGATCTATTATGCATTCTTCTCTGCTCAAATATGTATTTAGAAATGAAACATTCTTTGTATTTTGTTTCAGTCCTCAAAATTAGCCAATTAAAAATAATTGTCTTAAATCCTAAGGATTATGATATAGAATCTATTTCTCATTGAATATTCATTGTATAACCTAAATTTCTACCTCATTTAAAATCTTCTTTGTACTTAATAAAACAGAATACATTCCATGAGGAAATACAGGTCAAGAGGAAAATTAAACGCTCAACAATTATGAATTAAGTATATAGATTTCTCAAAAGCTAAAATGAACCAGAGAAAGTAATATCTTTAATGTTTTAAGCCTACGTCTCTCTAACCCTCTTTCCATATAATATTAAGATTGATTTTAGTTTTCTGTATTTAAAACCATTTTTGACAGGTTTCTAAATAGAGACTGTTTGGATTTACATATGTCTATTTTACTGCTGATTTTGAAATGGGAATTTATTTGAATTTTAGCAACAGCATTTGAATGTTTGTGAATGTACAGCCTTCTCCAACCTAATACCCTTTAGTTCAGAAGTGGGTTCCTACCAGTTCGCACCTATTCGGTAGAACCGGTTCGTCAAATCTATCGAACCGGTTAGAAGAGGTTCCACCAGTGGACCTGCAAAGCAGGCCACACCTACAGAAAAGGTTCCAAAATTTTTTGAAACCCGCCACTGTTTTAGTTGTGTTTGGATTACAGCTTGCAGAATTTTAAGTCTTAGCTGGCGTAGTGTGATTATTATCTCTGCATTCTTGAATGCTTGTCCAGTTAATACATTGGTGATTTACATCCCAGAAAAGCAGAGCTTATTGTGTGGAAGGGCACCATGAATTTTACATTAGGCTGAATCATGTTGACCAACACTTTCTATGTTACAGGATGGATTTGGTTTGAAGAAACAACCAAACAATAATGAAGTGCAATCAGTTAGGAGAAATAAGTCTCTTTAAAAGGGGATTGATATGTATTATTTTAATATAGCAATAATTATTTTTAAGTAACACAAATATGAGTACATAATTGTGCTGATCTTATGACTGCTGACATTTTAAAACATTATAGAGAATTCTGATTAAATGTTTTGTTCAAAACCTATTATTTTGATTTGCAATTTAGAATATAAGTTAGCAATTATATTGGGTATTAGTATTATCATAAAAGATTTTTTATTCAGAATTCTTCTTTGTGACATTCCATAGAATACTACTGGTTTACTCCAATAATTTTGATATATGAAACTCCTCACCTCCTTGAAGTGTTTAAGAAAATCTTACAATTTTCAGTAGAGTTTATCTGTAATGATTGTAAAATCATTCCAGTTTTAAAAGGTAAATAGATAATGCACACGGATACTGTAAAATTCTTATGGCATGTTATCTTACTACAGATAGTCTCTTTTAATGCCACAGAGACCATTTGCAATCATAGTGGTGATGAAAAAGTAACTTTACGACCAATACCTCTATTTATTACCTTTGTAATTATGTGTCAGTTAGTATGCATTGTCTTGACCCATTTTTGTCTCCCCACACAGAAAGATTGCCTAAACCAGCAAGCTCTTTCTGAGCAGCTATTCTCCACTGTGTAATGCATTCCTAAAAAGTTCTAACTGCAAATTAACAAGTTCAGCTGTCTGATC